CATGGACACTCCCTGGTGGGGCAACCATTTAGAGCTCCCCAGTCACTTCAGCACGAGTTTGATTACTGCCCAGGGAGCTGACCCACAAGGCGCAGCAGACCTCTCCTGCCTGTCTGCTGCCCCCCTCAGCAGTGTATGTCAATCTGCCTGTTCTGCTCCCCACTCTGTATCTGGTGAATCCTCTCACCTCCCCTGTACCTTTGGCCATACCCCAGTTCTGTATGCATAATTTAAAAAAGAAAGAAAATCACCACTTATTACTTAGACTTATGGCTTCCACTGCTGGTCAGTGGTCGTTGATGATAGCTCCTGACCAGGGCTACCCACTGCTTCCCCAGTACTGACCGCACACCACCTCCTGGGCTCCCATCCCGCCCTACATTTTGGGAAGAAATCCAAGTGAGTGTCCGCAGTTACGTCAGATGGTAAACCAAGGGCTGGCAACGTGCAGGGGACACGAGGTGGGTACTGACAGGCCTGGCTGGGAGCAGTACGTCATCCCTGACAGCACATAGAACTGCCAGTTTTATCGGTTTTGCAGTTCTCTGCGGTCACACACCACCGTCACCTGCACTGGCTCTGTGCCCAGTGCTTGCTGCCATACCGCCTGCTTGCACCAAGCGGAGCGGAGACAAGGTGGCCCCAGAGCCTCTTTCAGACCTTTGTCCAGATGGAACTTCGTCCTGAGGATGAAAGTGACACACGGACACATACAACTCACACTTATTGGAGCCTTGCTATTTTAAGAATGTACTTTATACAAAATAACCAGTTCATATGGAAATAAATCTACAGACCTCCAGAGGATCAAAAAGCTTTTTAAAAAGTTTTCTTAAAAATTATCCAACACACAATATCGAACTAACTATTGAGGTAAGTGTCGCTCTCAGTGAAAATAGGGCATCAGCAGACCACGACAAAATATACACAATATAAAAATAAATAGCATTCCCCTTCCCAGTACTGGCCAGGGAAGTTCACACGGCTTTTGCAGCAGGAGCAGAGAATCCCTGACACTGTGACCACAGGCTGGTGCAGGCTGGCCGGGCTCCCAGGAGCTGTGAGCAAGGCAGCAGCGAGGTGCCCACATGCCAGCTAAGAAATGAAGGGGTCATGGAGCGCCCCAAAGGGGTGTCAGCGTTTCAAGGAACTGACTCAATACCCATAAACCCTGCTCCCAACCCCACCCACCTTCTCCAAACACACATGCAGGACAACAGCTGGTGATCAAGCACTTTCAGGTATTTTTAGGGTGCACAGCCCCCTGGAGCAGAGTGAGAGACTAGCAAGGGAGACCCTTAGCAAATGCCTACAAAGCAGAGCAGGACCAACACTACCCTGGAGTCAAAGTGTGTCACAGCTTAAGATGAGACGGGACACAGAGGGATTCCCCAGCTGATCCCCTCAGGGGAGTGAGGGCAAGGCTCGGCCTCTTAGGGCTGGGGTGCAGAATCTGAAACCCCAGAAGCCACACTGGGAGCCGGTCTCCTCACGTGGCCAGCCTCGGTTGGTGCTAGCTCAGGAACAGCCTCTGCATGCCCAGCCCCGAGCCCAGTGTCCTCCCTGAAGCCCTGCAGAGTGCTGCTGCAGGCCCCAGGCGGGCGTGATCCTGGCGCACGCGTGTGGGCCCATGACAACACTGGGGGCTGCCAGCAGGAGCAGGGGGGAGCTGATAGGCGCAAAAGGGGACACAATGCTAGGAAATTTATTTCTTTGAAAACAGAGGGCCTGCGACAGCACGTCAGGGCTCTGACACTGTGCAGCTGCCCCCGCCTTGGACTGCCTGTGACATCTGAAATTAGGTTTTAAGAGAAGATTCATTTAAAAGTTCACCGAAAAATCAAGGCTGCTCAACCAAGATTTTTATATAGAGGTGTCAACTTTCATAAAAAAAAAAAAAAAAAAGTCCAACCAAGCAGCAGAGACCGATTGTGCCCCCGCTGTGGCGGCTGGACGCTGGCGCAATGACACTTTTCCCCTCTGACTCCGGCAGTGCGAGCTGCATGGCGGCAAACGCCATGAGCAGCAGCGACAGCGCACGGTGGGCAGGAGCAGCACTGGACAGTCCGAGCGGAGGGTCGCCACATGCACGCACGGACAGTCCGCTTTGAGCGCGGCCTGACGCCGGCTGCGCTGCGCTACCTGAGGGGCCGAACCCGCAGGTCAGGCCAGGGCGTGGCTTTTGTTTTATTCTTTAAAAAAAAAAAAAAAAAAAAAAGATGTAAAAATCTCTGAACACAATCAGGCTCTTTTGTCACATTTATTTTCCACATGCATCTACTATAATAAATGTCAGCCAATGGTAACTTTTCAAGTGAACAGCCTCTGAGGGGGAAAAATCTCAAACCAAAAAAACCTCCGAAAGGGCTCTGATCTTCTTTCTGGATCGTTATTTCTCTTGGGCCTGAGGGCTAGAGTTTCTAGCTGAACAATTCTAATGAAAAGTCAACCACGAATGTGCAATCAAGTAGGCGTGAGTATTTCTAGTTAGCTCCATCTCAGCTGTCTCTTCTGGCAGCACAAGGTGGTGGTCACACAGCGGGAAGTCCCTTTGGCCTGAGAACAGATCTGTTCAGGACCTCCCTACCCTAACTTCTAATTACAGCACATCACACAACCACCACTCCCTACCGGGGGAGAGGCGAATGCATTCACATCTGCTTAAGACACTCGGAGAAAGAAGTGGTGGGGGAGAAAGAGAAGGGGCGACAGCCCGGCTCGGGGGCTGGACTGGCGGCTCGCGGCGCTCCTGGGTGCACCTGCGGTCCTGCAGCTACTGCTGCTTCCGCAGATCCGCACTTCAAAGACCAGAAAAAGCTCAGGATACATCAGACAAAGGATGAACCAGTGGTATGTGCAATGCATGACCAGATTCCCACACGGGATGCAACGAGGCTGACAATTTTGCCTTTGCCTTGTTCACAGTGTTATAACATAATACAGTAGTTCAGCTTCCTATGGTTCCTCCTTAATGTTTTCTCGCTCCTCTGCGTACCAAGAAGGGAGCTCAAGGATAAAGGAGTTCACTCATTTCTTCCTATATTGTTCACAGCTTCTCTCTAGATTAGTGGGGGTATGGGGCCGAGAGAGTGAGGAGAAAGGGTTACCTCGAACAGTGTGTACAGCTGCTCAGCTATCACCAGGGCAGGAGGAAAAGGGCAAAAATCTGCTCAACTACGGCCCAGTACCCACCCTACCACAAGCTAGAGTTCTTCAGCACAAGGCAACCCCTACAACTTTAGCACCAGAGGAAGGAAACCTGTAGTTGCTCTGCCTCTGTTGGGGGGGGGGGGGGAGAAGAGGCCTTCACGCGTCAGCTTCCCTGTGAAACGAGAAAGGCGGTCAGTGGCAGGACTCTCTTGCCCGCACGGGTCTGACCAGGCCCAAAGCTGCAGTGAAGTTCTGCTGCTCCTCCTCCCCTTCCTCCCTGCTTTTGCACCAACACAGAAAATGGGTGGGATGAGGCTGCAACCACGCTGGCTTACACCAGCTCAAGCGCTGACCAGCCCTGCGCAGACCTCCCACTCTGATCTTCCTGCAAGAATGACACTGACCTCTCTATTCCTTTAAACTAGACCACACCAGTGATGGGTTTCTAACAAGGATTAAGATCAAATGAGGCCACAGCCTCAAAACTCATTCCACTTCAAATCACACCATATTTGACATCAAAGTCTGTTACAGAAAATTCGGACTTTTGTGCATCCTGTCCCCTGCTTGACTCATCCTGTCTGCACTGTGCGGTCAGTAAGCACTTGCTCACCCAACACATCCACGGTGAGTCTCCACTACCCTGAGCTGGGATTTGGGGGGGGAGGGGGGGCTCCATTCATCTCATATTGATGTTTCCCATGTCTTTTTCCTGCTGATAGTACATGCCTAGTAATCTACACCATGACAGTTCCACATATCATGAAGGATGTGGGAATTGGAGAAGTTCTATTCACCTCTGCCACTGTTGAATTTATAAGAAACTAGATCAATATTTTATGGACGTGTTCCTACTATCGCAAAGACATGCTTAAAAATAGCTGTACAAAAACCTCTAATTTCAGGGAATTTTAAAGTTTTTTTTCCTCCCCTTTGTGGGATATTCAGAAGTTTAAAACATGGGCTCTAACTTTGGTGGCATCTCTGCTAAAATCAAATACAGAATGCTAGACAGGCAAATCCAGTGTAATTCACTTCTAAAACTGTAAAAAAGTAATTTAATACTGTAAAATTGTCTATCACATATGACAAATGATTTCCAAGAACTTGTTCTTGATAGCTATTTTAAATCACCATGACTTATTTTACTATAATCCACTTAAAATGAATAAAAACTATGTATACTGAAATATTCCTAAATTCAAACTGTAAATCTATAGAATACATTTCTCCTATCCCAAACTGTGCAATTTTTTTTATTGATACTAACATATACAAACCTGAGTAGTCACTTCCACAAACTGTAATTCGTGCCAGAAAGCTCTGTGAGATGCCTTCCAGATCACAGTCCTGGCAGGTCTGTGAAGAGGATGGTGCATTTTACCTTCTAATAAGCAAAACACTCTAGTGATCCCAATCCCTGGTACTGGTCTGCAACTGTCGGGGGGGCTGGTGGCAAATCAGGAAGGACACAAGGGTGCTGCTCTCTGAAACCTGGGTCTGGGGGAGCCCGTCTTCCAGGCTGAAGTTGCTGGTTGGCCGTGCAAGAAGAGCACTCTGCCTTCATGCTGAGAAGCCAAAAGGGTAGGGGCGGTGTAACTGGACTCTTGGGCTGACTGGAGGGCAGGACCTCTGCTCTCTGTGGACAGCTGGTCACCAAGGAAGCACAGTTACATGCCAGAGACGAAGCCTTTCCTACCCTCTTCTCAGCTCTCTCAGGTACTCAGTGTGACGCGACTGCAAACAGTAAGGGCCACCCCAGCGCTGCATGCCCACCAGTTAGGCTTCCGTCTCTCCCACATCCCCACCCACCCTTCCCACTTTATGTACAATACATTCACCACCAACAACAAAACTTACTTTAAAGGCAACATGAAAATTCTGTAAACTGGACCCAGCTCCAAACACATTAATACTACGAGTAGTCCCTCCCCAATATATACCTGAGTTTAGCTGCTCATGAAAGTTTACAAGCACCACTCCAGTCTTAAGTATGTCCCCCTGCCCCCCAAGCTTAAGATGATTTCCCTGGACAAGTCTCAGGACTTGAAAAGCCATCACTACTTCCAGTTCATTGTTCTTGACAGTCTATTACTTATGCGAGATCAGCCCTGACCAGGAGCTCCAGGGCTGACCGCGGTCTGGGGTGTGTGCTTCTAGGGCGTGGCGATGGCTCGTGGAGGGTGTGGCGGGTGGTGGAGAGATGGGAGGATCGAACCCACATCCTCTGTGTTCCAGTCTTCATGTGCAGCTTTCCATTTCCTTGGGGGTTATTTCCTCCATGGACTAGCTCTGAGAAAACAAAGACCATTATAACGAAATTAACAACTTGCCAAAAACAAATTGTTTTAACAAACCAAAAAGGTGCTGATTTAGCCTCAGTAGCCACAGTTTGCTTCCCTAAGGTGAAATGCCACAGTCCTCCATCTCTGATTCAAAACCAAGCCCCATCCCTTAGGCATTGCAGGGTTTCTACCACGTTAGGGAACAAGGGCAACAAATACTTTGTAGGGGTCCAGGGAGAGATTAGATGAGCAATTCCATACAGAAGCAAGAGCAGTGCCTGGCATGGCAGCAGCCCTTGAAGTTAGCTCCTATTACTATTTTGGAAACTGACAGGTGTCCCTCAAATGAAACAGGTGTCTCTAGAAGTAGACAAGAGGGGTGGGGGGGACCCTTCCTGGAGGCGCAGCAGATTAAAGTGCAGCACTGCAAGCAAGCCGCGGCCACTTTCAGTGCAAGTTTGATCCGTGGCCCGGGAGCTGACCCACATGGCGCATCAGACCTCTCCTGACCCGCCCGCTGCTCCCCTCCGCAGTGTGCCTCATTGAGCTGCCTGTTCTGCTCCCCGCTCTGTCTCTGGTGAATCCTCTCACTGCCCCTGAGCCTCTGGCTGGTACCCCAGTTCTGTATGAATAAATAAAAAAAAATAAAAAAAAAAAAAAAAAAAAAAAAAAAAAAAAAAAAAAAAGAGGGATCATATCAAGAAAAATGTTCATAGCTGTTGGGGGAATGAGATTTAAATAATCCCAAGCAGCGGGTTGCCATGAGCACAGGAAAAGGAATGTGGGGCAACCAGAGATGACACCCCCTAGGCTTCCTTATCTGGTCCCCCGTTGCCAGGTCACAGGGCACAGAGCCTGACCAGACTTCATACCCAACGCCGACAGCACAGGAAGCGCTTCCCAAGCAAAGTCCTCATGTCAATGGGGGCACTGCCAAAGGTTTTTCCAGACTGGCAAGGAAGTCATGGACCTATTTCCTGTAATAGGAAGGAGTAAGAGAAACTAATTTCTGAGAACTTTTACCTGATCCAGAGGAATTGTCGGGGGCTTATGTGGGGGCAGCTCATCCTGGGGTGCTGCTGGTGCCGGGGTCTTTGGGAACAAGGACTGCGACCGGGCTGGCTGCGTCTGCATTCTAGAGGCCCAAGAGAGGAACGGGGAGAGTCAGTGAAGGGACAGTTTGCAAAAGGTGAGACGCTAGCCAAGCAGCTCTCAGGCGATGCTGCCTGAATTACGCAGGGGTCAGACCAAGAGCACGTGCCTCCTGGCGTTGAGGCATTTACACGGAGCATCACCTACGGAAGGGTGGTTTCACTTGATCTAAAGACAAGAGGAAAAATGAAATGAATCTGCAGTTTGGAACTCTATGAGAATTGGCCTGGAGTCTTAGAAAACAAGCCAGTGAGAGGAAAAAAGTTGCGAATTAAGAGACTAAACATAGCAACCAAAAATGTAAATACACACAATAGATTAGATGCTGGATGGGAAAAGACAAAGGATGGACTATAAAAGACCCCATGGAGACAACAGGAGAGAGTAAATGAGGCCTGCTATTTGCTACTGGGAATGACCACAGTTTTCGAGATTGCTGCCTGGGACAATGTCCCTATTCTCAGGAGATGTATGCAGAAGTACTTAGGTCAAGATGTCTGTGACTTACTTTGCAATGACTTAGAAAACAAGGCAAAGAAAAGGAAACATATTTAGAAAGGTATAAAAACAAATATAACAACATGGTAACAGGGAAGTGGGCTTGGCCTTGGCGAGGGGCATGCTGGTTTTTAAGTTGGACAGTCCTGTTCTCATAAGGTTCCAGAGGATTTAGTTGTTTTTCTTCCCTACCTTGGTGAGCCTTAAAAGCATTAATAGGGCCCTCCCTGGTGGCGCAGCGGGTTAAAGCACAGCACTGATAAGCTAAAGCCACTTCTGCAGGAGTTCAATTCCCGCTAAAGCCACTTCTGCAGGAGTTCAATTCCCGCCTGCCCAGAAGGTGACCACATGGCGCAGCAGACCTCTCCTGACCCGCCCAACCCGCTGCTCCCCTCAGCAGTGTGCTTCCTCGATCTGTCTGTTCTGCTTCCTGCTCTGTCTCTGGTGAATCCTCTCACCGCTCCTGCACCTCTGGCCTGTACCCCAGGTTCTGAATGCACAATAAATCATTAAAAAAAAAAAGCATTAATAAATGAGGATTCTCATGGGGACAGGATTTGACTTGTTCTAATCCTGATAAGCCTAGATTTTTCATTCTATGAGAGGGTATGAGACTAGGAATAAACCTGGATCCTACACACGACCTCTTTTACTCTGTTCAAAGTACATGAATTCAGTAGTTATGTCCAAACCTTTGTCGACAGCTCCTAGTCTATGATTATCTTGTTTCTGATCTCAAAGTCTAACTGAACAGTATTAAATGCGAATTTATTTTTACAGGGGTTGAGAGGAGAAAGAGATCCAAAGATGAAGCTGAACTCCTAGGGTAGTATTTCTGCTTTGTCTTCAGTACCAACAAAGCAGAATCATGGCTGGGCTGCAGGGTACTGTGCTTACCGAAGTTGGAGGGGAAAGGTAAACACTGTATGAATTCACTCATATGTAGTTGATAAGAAAGCCAAAACAAACCATAATCAATATTCTATGAGAATACAGTAGTTACCAGAAAGGGGAAGAGAGTTTGCAAACTACATAGTGACAGCTGGGATCTGGACTTCCGGTGGTCAGCAACTGTGGTACATACAGATGTTGACTATAAAGCTGCACACCTGGAACCTACTTAACATTATAAACCAATGTCACTGCAGTTAAGCAAACTCATCCTAAAGAAATCTTACCCTGACGGTCTGTACATTTCCTGGAAAGGTCCCCTTATTCCACTCCCAGGGCCGATCTGTTCCATCATTATAGCTTGAAAGTGACCCAGGCCTTCTTCCTGACAGCGGTAGTTGGGGCCCTCCTGAGACAGACCATTGGGCTGGGCAGCCACGGGACGGTGAGGTGGGTGAGCAGCCACAGGAGACGAGTAGGCCCGGGGTTGGAAGTGGCTGGCAGGCCGCTGTGGTGGGTAAGGAGGCCCTGTTTGTAGCATCACACCATGGGGTGGGAAAGCAGAAGAACCAAATCCCATCCCTGAACTCAGCGGTGGAGGAGCAGTTCCGTAAAGGTATTCACCGGTTGACAGTGAACTCTGTCGCTTGGTAGCTGCATTATGGTTGTCCAGGTCTAAAAATTCTTTGGGACTCTCTGGTCTCTCCATAGATTCGTCCAGCTTCTCTTCTTCTGGGACAGGATCCTGCCCATCATTTGCAATCACCTTGGCAGCCACCACATCCATTCGGCTTGGGGAGGTTAAGGCAGCATTCAGTGTCTCACAGCCCTGCACACTGGCCATGGCGCTCTTGTCTGAGAAGAGGTGTCTTGGTGGGGGCGGCTGACTAGGAGCAGGGCCACTTGGGCTTCCTGGAGGGTGGAGATGCCTCTGCCAGTCAGAAAGGCCCTGCGGACATGTGTAGTAAGGAGTCCGCTGATAGTGGTGGTAGGAAGGCTGAGGTGGAGGCTGATAGGAATACCTCACACTTTGGTGGGGGCGGTATCGGGGAAAGACACCCGAGTGTGGGTTGTTAGGCTGGAAGCCTCTAGAGGGAAAATGCTGAGAATGCGAGACTGAGGGTCGACTTCCCATCACAGGGCCCAAACCTTGCAGGCCTGGGCTGACGTGGTAATGTGTAGCTGAATTTGGGTACTCCAGGCCAGGCATGTACAAGGGAGAAAACTGGCTCACAGAGCCGCCCATCAAACTGGGGTCTGCACTGGGAGGTGTCGTTGGGTTCTGTCCCGTGCACGATATGGTTTCCTGCAGCATTTTGCCTCTGGGACAGAGTGGCTTTTCTGAACCACCGCCACCAAGCCCCTTCACCTGTGATCCACAAGGGGATACTTCGACAATCACTCCATTTTCGGGTAGCGCCTCTCTATCTGCCAGAGTGGAGACGTCCTTCATGCACCCTTGGGCTGCGGGACTGGTGTAGCTGCTGTCTGAGGACCAAGCATTCTTGCTCTTGGCCGCTTTACAGTTGTCTCCAGATTCTGAAGAGTCACTTTTGAGCTCCGGGTCCTCTGCTTCCCCCTCTTGTGGTGAGCTCTGCCTGGTACAGTCAGTCTGCAGGGGAGGCGTAGGGTGAGGTAGTTGTTTGAGGTACACCCCCTCTGAAGCACCAACACTTGGTGGTTTCTCCTCAAGACCAGGCATGGCATCTGTTCCAAGAAAAACAGAACAAAATGTTTCAACAGTGGCGAGGACAGCCCTGATAAGGGCGGCAATGAAGATCACGGAAGGAGTCCGCTAAGGAGACTCAGGAGAGGGGTACACGTGTGGCCATTCGAGCTCCGCTGGGCATTTCCAGACTCCCTTTCAGGTCATGAGCTCGAGGCCCTTGCATGCGGCCTTTCAAGACACTGACTCATCGGGCTACAAAAGGACAGAGATGTTCTTGTCTTCCTCCTGCGCTGTCACTGTCAGACCAGCGAAGGGTGGGGGTGGCTCACGCACAGTCCCCGGAGGAGGCATGTGGTGGATGTGAGGAGGGTCAATGTCTGCTGGCTCTGAAATCTGACACAAGGCCACAGTGTGATGAGGAACAGGGAGGCTCTGCTCGTCAGAGCATAAGCTCCAGAGGAGCAGGGACCTTGTTTTGTTCCCTCAACGCTCACTACCTGCGCCAAATGGGGCTCCATCAGTAGCTGCTGAATGAATCATCATACCTGGATGCCAAGAAAACGTAACAGCTACAGCATGACAGAAAGGCACCTTTAACATATCACAGACATGTAACGAACCCAATGAACTCGTACTAGACTTAAATGTTCTATTACTCTCACAATTCTTTACCTTTCTGTTGAACTTTCCCATGAGACAGTCTTATTAAAAGCTGCAATTTTTCAATATTCAGTAAACAGAAAAATGGCTACAAAGAAGCTTATCCAAGGTGTCGCAAGTGGCATTCTCCTAGGTTAGAATTTCAGACACTACTTGAAATAAGCAGGAATTTCTAAGAACGTCTGTCAGGGTTTGTGCTCTCAAAGTGAAAAAATAAGTTTTAATTCTAGGTCTAACATAAATTTTAGGTAGATTCTTCGTCATGTTTTGGAAAACTCCAGATGCCCCCATTCTCTAGTCATGCAGTGAAGAAAACAACACACTGTACCTGTTAGCCATTTATCACAGAAATAGCACTAATTATAGGAAGTATCGTTTATTCATCTTTCTCTTCCAGTTTATTTATTCTCATGTCATTTCTCAGAAATCCCTTCAAAATTTGCTGGACCTCACTAACCTGCATTCGCAACAGATTAAAAATGTGTCCAAGAGGTACAAGGATGGATATCATTAAATTTAAATATTTACAACTTAAATCAACAGTTGTAAATACAAAAGTTAAATCAACTTAAATCAACAGTGTAACTTTTTAAAAAGATTTATTTATACCCACAAGAACTAGGGTACAGGCCAGAGGTGCGAGGGGGTGGGGGTGATTGTTGGTGGTAAGAGGATTCTTACCAGAAACAGAGTGGGGAGCAAAACAGGTGAGAGAGGAGGTCTGCGGCACCATGTAGGTCACCTCCCTGGCCAGGGGTCAAATTAGTGCTGCAGGGGCTGCTGATAGCTTTACTGTGCTAACACTTAAACCTCTGCATCACCACAGAGGCCCCAAGACAGTACTTTTCTTAAAGGCAAGTTGGATATACTAAGGTTAGGGATCATGGATTTTGGAACCCATCTTCTCTGGGGTCAAAACTCAGCTCCTCTATTAGCTAGATGTGGGCAAATATCCTGGTATCTTTGTGCTTTGGCTCTCCATCTACAAACCCAGGGTAGTAACAATAGTGATCTCAAAGGCTTGTTCTGAAGAATAGTTAATACAGAGCCTTCCTGTTGGCTCAGGGGCTAATGTCTTGGTGCTATCAAACTATCACCAACCATTGGGACATGAGTTCAATCCTGGCCAAGGAGCTGACCCACATGGCGTGGCAGACCTCTCCTGACCCGCCCGCTACTCCCCTCAGCAGTGTACTTCGTCGATCTGCCTGTTCTGCTCCCCACTCTGTCTC